CCTAGGATCCAATTTACTTTGTTGTCCTCATTCTTGTCATTCGCTCAGAAAAAAAAGAGAAGAAATGAAAACTGAAGAAAGTGAAAAAGAAAAGAAGACTCATCGATGCTACACTTTGTAAAAATTACTATGCTATTTCATGGTTCTGTACACAGAAATAAAGCATATATAACCTGTGGTTACAGGTGGTTTATAATGTCCCTTTATGCAAGAAACAGGTACCCATCCATGGTGGTCCTCTTTACCATGCAACAAAGACGTAAGCAAATATCTCTGATGCAGAACAAGGGGCAATAAATTCAACACACATACACACAGGTGTGTATGATGTCCTATGAGATCAGAAAGAGAAAGTGACTTCTGATGAGGAAGAAGGAGGAAGGAAATTGTAGAGAAATAGCAATAGGTTTAAAACCCAGTAATAATCTAGAAGCAAGACTTACTAGCTGTACCTTAGCAAAGCAAATAGGGCAGAGTTTCCTTCTTGTGAAGTTCACAGAAACCCTGGGGTGGAGAGTGGGTCAACTTTTAAGAACATAGTATGATAATAGGGATATGTTGATGTAATAAATCAAAACAAACAAAAAACCAATTTGGGTCTAAAATTTTTCTTAAATTGATTTTTAAGAAATCACAATTTTCCAGGATAACAACTCCTGACATACCTTTTATTCAAAAGGTTTACCTTTTACTACATTGTTTCAGCTGTTTGTAAGAAAGAGCTGGTCATATTGCTCAAGTTGGACAGTTCCTCTAAACAGGACAATCCTTTCATCTGTCACCATGTCAGTCAACAGCATTTATTAAGTGAACCACATGTTAAGATCAATATCCAAAAGAGTATTATAAAAGGAGCAAGAAGCCCAGTGTGCACTTGGAGCTTACGGCCCCATGAAGGAGACAAGGTAGGCTAATAAAATAATAAAGTCGAGTGAAAGAAACATCTGCCAGATGGAAGCTGTAAAGAGACATTTGTGTAAGTGTTCAGTATTCAGGGAAGTGGACAGGAAGAAGTTTAGAGTGATTGAAACTAAAAGAAGCCAAGTGGGGTTAGCTTGGAGATAGCTTCAAGAAGGAATGCATTTTTTTGGCTTGGTTATGGGAAACATTATCTGATTGCATAAACACTTTTATTTCTTTGTGGTATTCCCCAGATGAATGCTCTTTTAAGTTGACGTGAATATAGTTGTCTTTATTTTCCTTCTTTCCCTATTTCCTGTAGAGAACAGCCTGGTCACAATTATATTGGCTGAATACTCTAAGCCAATAAGAGACCTGCATCACAGAGCTGTTCTCCATTGGAGTCAAATCCTAACTCTCTGATAGTGTTAGGTCTGTCTCCATGTTCCCATGTCCTCAGTTCCCAGTGTCAAAAGTGAGTGCTGGTACCGATTTGAGCTGATGATCGAGTGATCACAAATACAAAGCAATCCCATACAAACAGTTTAAAAAAGGAAGCTACCCTAAGTGAAAATATGTTCCAGAGAGAGGAACAGGTCAGACTTCACGAGAGTAGAATGACGTTGAAGACTCCCAGGTGGTTTTCTTTTATTGGCCTGGTCCAGGGGCGGGCTTACAGGAGGTGTGGGATATTACCAAATGATTATCAGGTATTCTACATTTTCCTGCAGTCCCTTCCCCTGATTGGCCTCTGAATTCTCCACCCCTAGATACCACCCTACTGGCCTACACCTACAACCTGCTGATGTGATCCCAACCTAACAATAGTCTCACTCTGTCTAACACCTCAGCCTGCTCTCATTATACCACCAGAGCATGTAGCCACATCTCATCTTCCTACCCTCAGTTTTTAACCAAAAACGTCATTCAGTTGTCTCTCCTGCCCTTAAAGACCTTCAGAAAGGATTTCTGAAGATATTAAGATTTGGTACTGTGGTGGATTCATATTGTGTGAACTTAAACAGAGCTGGAACTACATTTCTTCAAATTCATTTCCCTGCATATCTGTGGGTAGGTATGGAATTTGGAAGAGGGATGTGAAGCAACAGCCATATTTATTTTACATTTGGAAGGTGATGCAGGGCATGGAGCTGTGTTGTAACTCAAAGCACATTCTCACAAATCTCCTGGCATACCTTGCGATATGGGGCAGCAGCCATGCCTGCAGATTGCCCAGCTCTCACCTGATCATCCTTCAGTTCCTTTGAATCCTGGACCAGTTGTGTGCTTAGCTCTGTGGGAAGTGGGCCAACTTTTTCTGCAGGGCACCAACGTCACCTATGGTGGAGGGTTGGAGGAGGTGGGAGGAACAGGATTTACTGTCTAAAATCGTGGGTTCTAACTCAATTTTTTGTTTGTTTTTGTTTTTGTGTTTGGAGACAGGGTCTCTCTCTGTTGCCTGGGCTAGAGTGCAGTCGCATCATCACAGCTTACTGCAACTTCGAACTCCTGAGTTCAAGCAATTCTCTTGCCTCAGCCTCCCAAGTATCTGAGAATACACGTGCACACCACCATGCTCAGCTAAATTTTCTGTATTTTGTAGAGATGGAGTCTTACTATGTTGCTCATGCTGGTCTCTAACTCCTGGCTTCAAGCTAGTCTTCTGGCTCAGCCTCCCAAAGTGCTCGGATTACAGGCATGAATCACCATGCCTGGCCCTAGCTCACTTTTGTGTGTCGCAGTTTGTCCCTGCTGCTGCTTTCTTCACATCTATCTTCTCTTCCTGACTACCTGCCTTGCACCAGATGCAAAGACAGTAGTTTCTTATAGACTGTTAAACCAGCTACCACAATTGCATAAGAGTAAGTATCCTTAATAAATCCATGTTCACATGTATATATGAAGATATATACATACACATTTATATGTGTTTATATGCATACACATGTGTATATAATGCTGTGACTGATACAAGTTCTTCTGCTTGTTTTCTATCTGCCAATACATCTTTTTAACCTTGGTCCAGAGAAATAAAAAGACTACCAAACTCTGCCTGGCTAACTCCTTTCACTTCTTTCAGCCTGAGCTCACTGGGTCTTTTCCTAGAGAAGTCTTCCCCAACCTCCTCAAAACGCTATCAAATAACACTTGTTCCCTTACTTCACAGAACTTTTCACAATTTATATTATGCATAAACATAAAGTGAATGTATTTGTTTAATATCAATTTTCCTCAATAGGTATCCAATGCACATTTTTGAATGAAAGTCTATTGAATATCTATTTAATACTCTTTCTTTCATTATCACCCTCTCTCTACCCATTACTGTTGGTCTAGTAAATGCGTCCATTGGGTGTTTGTTATGTATGTTCATTTGATGCCAATAATTGCCTCTGCTAAGCATAGCATCTGGAACCTGTTAATTTCCAGAGCAGCTTCTCCAGCACAGTATAAAACCCTTCCTCTCTCAACATCATGCTCTCCAGCTATAGCCTCTACCTCTCCTCATCCTATTCATCTCCCGATCATCTGTCTGTTCCCCCAGTAGCACTTTCTGGAACTAGACCTTCATCATGTTTTCACGTGTTCATTTACACACACATTTATTCAACCAACAGATGTTTGTTCAGTGCTTATCATGTTCCAGGCTCTGTGATAAGACTTTGTGTAATAAGGGCTTAGATTTCCCTATTTTCCTGAATCCAAGAAGAAACCTTGAGCTGTTGACACTTAATCCAAGCAAGGACAAGTACTGAGGACCTTCCCTTCTATACCATCACAGTCTTCTCTAGCAGTCTAAAGTCCCCCTGACTGATTCTTAATGCCCATAGGTATTATGAGTGTTGGAAGTCGGCAGGGTTGGGGTGGGGGAGAGGTCCACACATTGTGAACAACTCATAAAAATAAAATGAAGGTTTACATTTCTCGAGTCATGATTGACAAAAAAAAATTGCTCAGTTTAACTACATTTTATAGTTTAGGTAAGCAGTTTTAATTAAAAGCTGAGAAAGCCTTGAAGCACAGACGCCCAGGAAACACTGCAGATGTGATACACTACTGGCTACTGACGTAGTGCCTTTGCCAGAGAGCCACAGGGTCCTCCCGCATCTCCTCACCGTAAGGCAGAGCTGTCTTCACACTGTGCTCGCTTGTGTTCACATAGCCCAACTCTTTATCTGTTTTCTTTTTGATATGCTAATAATCTTCAATAATATGACAGGCTCTGACTGAGTTATGGTTTTTCTTTGCAAAATGATTTCGGTGGTTGTCTTCTTACTAAAAAACCCTTCATTTACAAATCATATCTTCATTTTCCCAACTATATTTTTTCTTAGAAATGAGCTTAATCTGATTATTTCCTTTCCCTTTACAATTCATTTATTGAAGCACTTGTAGGTGACTCTGGCTCATTAGGGAGAAAGTTGTGGCAAAAGAATTCTAAGAAAGAAAGATTATCAATGTATTTTAAAACACAGTGGCACCACACTAGAGTTGATGTGTTGTCCAGCAGAAGTTGAAGAACATGAATTGGATCTAACAAAAATATTCTGGGTTTTGTAATCTCTTCTTGCAGCAATCATGATCCAGCATAAAGATGGCAGAGTTTAGGGTAAGTTAGGAACGGGTGCTTTCTAGGTAATTAAGCCCAAGGATGAGCACTCATGGTTATTGGGAGAGTGATTGAGATGATAATCCATGCAGTCTAAGGTGGATAGAGAAGTAGGAGAGGCCAAGACTAAGCAAAGAAACTGCAAGGGAATAAGGCAGTTATTAATATTATTAATAATATTAATACATGCATGTTTTCATGGAGCTGAGAGAACGCTAGTAGGCATGACAGAATAACAAAAGCAAATCAATGTCAAAGAACTAGAAAACTAATGGTTAAAATTTCTGACATGGAGCAATTAGAGGACCTAAGGAATGGTCATGAGTTTGAGTGGGTAGAGTATAAAACATGGTCATCATAGTTGAGGAGATAAAGAAACTATGAAATTAAGATTCATGATTATTACTTTAAAAAAAAATTGCCTATTAAGCTCCAAATTCTGTGAAGAGAAGTACCATGCCTGTCTTACTCACCATAATATCCCTAGTTCCAATACAGTGTCTAATAGAGAGTTGACACTTAATAAAAATTTGTGAGAAAAAGAATAAATGAAGAATTCATTAGTATAGTCATTGAAGACACCCCAAAGCAATAAATCTATCCATGTTAAAGCATGTTTTCTCTTGCCAGTAAGACTTTGCAGGCTCTTTGTACTCTGGCTGGAAAAAAAGAAACAAAAAACAATTTGTCCGAACTTTACATATGATTATTTGGGTCTCAGCTTAGTGATCAATTCTTACAATAAGTCTTTCCTATAACACCATGCTTTAGATTTTTTTTTTTTTTTTTGTATTTTCATAGCACCCTGTACTTCCTCTAGTCTTGGACTTATTTTACTTACTTTAATGTAATTTCTTATTTAATTATCTGCCTCTTTCTATTTTTAATTTTTTAAAAATTTTGCTCTACAAGTTCAGAGAAACTTCTCTAGTAATGAACTATAGAAATAATCCCTGAAAATATACTCTTACTGCCTCTTTCAATGGACTGAAATATCAGACAGATTGTCTTATTCATCATCATTTTTCTCCACCCATTATAAAAGAAATAAAACACGTTACTTTTCTTTCCTACTGGCAAAACAATGTAACTTTTATATCACCCAGTTTTGGTAAGGAAATCCAGTAATAAATTCTCAAACGAAATGTAAATGTGTGTGCAAATTAGTGTAACATTTATAGAGGATAAATTGGTATTATCAATCAAAATTTAACATGGAAATACTATTTGACTCTAAATTTCATTTGAAAAATATGTCCTTCAAATACATTTACATAAGTAAAACAGGAGTGATAGACATTGTAAGCTTTATTTGAGTATCAAAAACAATGTAAATAATTTAAATGACCATCAATAAATAACTGGGTACATGATTATGATGCATCTATATAATGGTGTTCCATGTCAACATTAAATAGGCTACAATATATATCTATATATTTCTATAGGAAGTGCTAGAGATACTAAGGTATGTATGTTATAATACTATTTGTGTCATTTTTAATAAAATTGATCCCTGAATAACACAAACTTGAAATGTGTGACTAGTATCTACAAATCTTATATGTGGATTTTTTAAATAAATATTTTGGAAAAAAATTTTTGGAGATTTGTAACAATTTGAAAAAACTCACAAACCACATAGACTAGAAATACTGAAAAATTAAGAAAAAGGTGTGTCATGAATGCATAAAATACATGTAGATACTAGTCTTTCATTTATTACCATAAAATATACACAAACCTTTTATAAAAATTTAAAATGTATCAAAGACAAACACAGACTGTTCATGGCATTATTCACAGTCAAGAGAAATGTAAACAAACGTAAAGAAGCAATATTGAGTCATAACTGTATAAAATTAACTGTAGTACATACTGTACTACTTTAATAATTTCATACTCCTCTCCTATTGCTATTGCAGTGAGCTCAAGTGTTGCAAGTATCCACTTAAAACATTGTGCGATGCTAATAATCTCCACATGAACAGTTCATCTCTCCAGTAAATTTTGTATTGCACAACACCATGAGACACATACAGAGTGCTACCAGTGATGCTGAAAGTGCTCCTAGAAGTAGGAAAAAAACATGACATTATAAGAAAAAGTTGAAATGCTTGATATATACTGTTGATTGAGGTTTGCAGCTGTAGTTACCCTCCATTTCAATATAAATGAATCCAGCATAAAGAATCTTATGTAAAAAAAGAAGAAATTGTGAAGCAGTTCCTGCAGCTATGCCAGAAGACACAAAAACTTGCACTTTTTTGTGAAATATCTTTTTATGTCATATTTAGCATGCAGCTTTTAATATAGATGCAGGATTACTATAAGAGTCTAATATGATCCAAGAAAAAAACAAGTTATTATATGACAATTAAAGTAAAAGAAAGAGGAAGGATCTAAAGCTGGAGAATTTAATGCCATTCAGGGATAGTTTGATAATTTTAGAAAGAAGTTTGGCTTAAAAAAAAAAAATCACCATAAGAAGAGAAGCAGCTTCTGCTGACCAAGAGCATTAGATAAGTTCCCAGATGCCATTAAGAAAATCTTTGAGGCAGATAAGATATCTTCCTGAGCAGGTTTTTAATGCAGATGAAATTCCCTTATGCTGGAAAAAAATGACACAAAAGACTTTTATTAGAAAGAAAAAAAAAGTGAGGACTAGGATTTAAGGCAGGGAGGGATAGACTAACTCTACTGTTTTGTGCAAATGCAGTTTGGTTGATGATTAGGACTGTTCTTATCTATAAAGCTGCTAAATCCTGAGCCTTGAAGGGAAAAGATAAATGCCAGCTGATAGTCTTTTGGTTGTACAGCAAAAAGGCCTGGAAAACAAGAACACTTTTTCTGGATTAGTTTCATACATGCTGGCCACCAAAAACCCCATGAGATTAACACTAAAAGTGTCAAAATCGTCTACTTGCCCCCAACCCAACGGGGTCATAAGATCCTCTTAGGCTCATTACACATGGTACTCTATGGTAAGGATTATCAACACTTTGGAAGAGAACTCTGATAGAGAGAACATTGTGAACATATAAAAGGATTCATCATAGTACACTCATGAGATCTTGAGTAAATTACACATAATAATCATTATACAGTCGACCCTTGAACAAGGTGGGGGGTTAGGGATGCTGATCCCCATGCAGTCGAAAACCCATATATAACTTTTTAATTTTCAAAAACACAACTATTACTAGCCCACTGTTGCCCGGAAGCCTCACTTACAATATAAACAACCAATTAACACACATTTTGTATGTTATATGTATTATATACTGTATTCTTATGATAAAGCAAGCTGTAAACTAGAGAGAAAAAAAAAGGATTACACCTTTGAAGATGTCATTGTTGTTAATTTTAAAAATCCATGAAAGCTATCAAGCCTAAAAGAATAAGTTCCTGCTGGAGAAAACTGTGTGCATATGTGCATGTCTTCACCGGACTTACAACAGAGCCAATCAAGGAAATTGTGAAAGATATTGTAGATATGACAAAATATTAAGGAGAGAGGGGTTTTAAGATATGGATCTTGGAGAAATTCAAAAGCTAATAGACACTACAATAGAGAAGTTAGCAGAAGACAACTTGATTGAGATGAGTCCTTCCACATTACTGCCAATGAGAAAGAAGATATAAAAGGAGTGCCAGAAAACAAATTGACATTAGACATTCTGGCAGGAGGATTCTGATTATTCAAGACTGGTTTCGACTTCCTTTATGGCATGGACTGTTTTATGAAACTAAAGCAAATGGTGGAAGAAAGACTGGTGCCACACAGAAATGATTTTAGAGAAATGAAAAAGCAAAAAAGTTAATCAGAAATTACTATGTATTTCTGTAAAGTTATACTGAGTGTGCCTCCCCCTTCCTGCCTCCCCTTCCACCTCCTCCACCTCTTGTGCTTCTACCAGCCTGGAGACAAGACCAACCCTTCCTCTCCTTCCTCCTCCTCTTCATCCTACTCAACATGAAGACAGAAATTAAGACTTTTTGGATGATCCACTTCCACTTAATGAATAGCAAATATGCTTTCTCTTCCTATGTTTTCTTAATAATATTTTCTTTTCTCTAGCTTATTTTATTGTAAAAATACAGTATATGGTATATATCACATACAAAATATATGTTAATCAACTATTTATGTTATTACTAAGGCTTCCAGTCAACAGTAGACTATTAATAGTTAAGTTTTGGGGGAGTGAAAAGTTATGCATGGATTTTTGACTGTGCAGGCATCAGCACCCCTAAATCCTGTGTTGTTCAGGGGTCAACTCCATATGTCTGTTAGTTATTCAGCCAAAAAATATATTTTAATAAAATGAGATTCAAGAAATTATTTTGTGATCATCTTTTGAGATAAGAGACTGAGGATGTAGGAGGAAACTATTTTTTTTAATGATCTGAGTTGTTTCATGAGCAATTTTTATGATTTTTTATTTTATATTGCTCTCTACTGTTTGCTTGTTTTTTTAAGCCTTGCAATCATTTGTTCATTTTAATTACTTAGTTTTTACAACAGATTTATCTACATCTGTAACCATGTTCTCCAATTGTTCTTTGGCCGTTAGAGCTCTTACTCAATGAAGCAAATATTACTAGTCTTCCCTATTCTCTTCAAAGCCAATCCCTAGCTCCTCTTCAGCTGTTAATTTTTGTCTCCTATTTAATTAAGAAAAAGAGATATTCAAGAATGGCCTATATCAAGAAATCCCAAAACAACAAATGCTGGCAAGGATGCGGAGAGACAGAAACACTCCTACACTGCTGGTGGGACTGCAGATTAGTGCAACCTTTGTGGAAAAGAATTTGGAGATACCTCAAACAGCTAGAAATAGAAATACCATTCAACCCAGCAATAGCATTGTTGGGCATCTACCCAAAAGAGCATAAGACATTCTATTGTAAAGACATCTGCACCCGAATGTTTATAGCAGCACAATTCACTATTGCACAGTCATGGAAACAACCCAAGAGCCCATCAATTCATGAGTGGATAACTAAAATGTGGTATATCCTCACAATGGAATATTACTCAATCCTAAGAAATGACGATGAGCTAGCACCGTTTATGCTATCCTGGATTAAGCTTAAACCCGTTATCCAAAGTGAGGCAACACAAGACATGGAAAATGGGCTCCACATCTACTCGCCATCAAATTGGTACTGACTGATTAAAACTATGGTTTTCAAATGGTGGCAATGCTCACCAGGGATTGGGGGGGGACCCCAATCTTAGGGAGGTGGCGAGTAGTTTGGAGGGGAAGGGCATAACTCTAACCCTTCTTAAGGAGAGGCAAAGATATACAATGTAACCAAAATGTCAAAAACAAAACAAAACAAAACTTTTTGTCGGGTGGTGGGCAGATGGTAGGAGGGAGGAGGAAAGGGGTGTATGCTTCCATAACGTGTGTGATGCACACCACCGGGGGATTGGACACATGGGGGGAGGGGGGGCAGGGGCAATATTTGTAACCCTAATAATATTTGTACCTCCATAATATGATGAAATAAATTTAAAAAAAACAGAAAAGAAAAAGAGGTATTCAAGGTCCAAATGGAATTGCCTCAAATATTTCTCCCATCTCCTACGGGTGCACCCATTCTTTTCTCCAGTCTTAGAAGACAAAGAGCTCCTCCCCTGCTCAGGGCC